TGGAGAGTATATACAATGGAAGAAAGGGAAGAAACCTTAATGAAAATTGGATTATGTTAACATCACTTTCTAAGCGATCAGCTAGTGAATGATCATGTATAACTGAGCCCTGGTGTTGTTAGGTGCTGTTGAGGCAGCCCTTGACTCATGGTCACCCCAGGCACTACGAGGGAAGACTGTTATGATCCACAGGGTTTTCACTGGCTGATTTCTGGAAGTAGATTGCCAGGCAGTTCTTCCTAGTCCCTCTTAGTCCGGAAGCTCTGTGGAAACCTTTCAGCCTCATAACATGCAGGGCTTCATTGACAGATGGGTGATAGCTGTACTTGAGGTGCATTGGCCGGGAATTCAACCCAGGGCTCCCACATAGAAGGCAAGAATTCTACCACTGAACCACCACTGCCCCCTATGTATTTTTTAAATTAAAGTGTAATTCACATATATAAAATTTGCTATTTTAAAGCGTACAGTTCGGAGGTTTTTAGCGTATTCACGAGGTTGTGCAACCATCATCACTATCTAATTCTAGAACATTTACATTACCCTGAAAAGAAACCAGTACCCATTAACAGTCATTCTTTATTTGCTCCTCCAGCTATTCCCTGGCAACCATTAATCTTTCTGTCTCTATGGATTTGCCTATTCTGGTCATTTCAATAAATGGAATCATACAATATGTGGTTTCTGTGTATGGCTTCTTTTCATTTAGCAAAATTTCAAGGTTCATCCATGTGTTGTATGCATCAGTACTTCATTTTTATTGTCAAATTATATTTCAAGATATACCACATTTCTTTTATCTATTCATCAATTGATGAACATTTGAGTATTGCTACTTTTTGGTTATTATGAATAATGTTGCTGTGAACATTAGTGTACAGGTTTTTATTTCTCTTGGGTATATATATACCTATGAGTGGAATTGCTGGGTCATCTATGTTTAATTTTTTTGAGAGACTGCCAGACTGTTTTCCAAAGTGGCTGCAACTTTTTACATTGCCACAACAAGCATATGAGGGTTCTAATTTCTGTACATCCTCAGCAACATTTGTTATTTTCTTTATTATTATAGCCATCCTAGCGGGTGTGAAGTGATATGAAATTATGGTTTTGATTGTCATTTCCCAATAACTGCTGAGCATTTTTTTATGTGCTTATTGGTTATTTGTATATTTTCTTTGGAGAAATGTCTATTCAAATCCTTTTCTACTTTTTTTTTTTTTTT